TAGTAACAAGTGCCTTACTACTAGTAACAATGTTTGCTATTAGAAACAAGAAGCTACTAGAAACAAGTGCCTTACTAGTAGTAACAAGTGCCTTACTACTAGTAACAATGTTTTCTATTAGAAACAAGAAGCTACTAGTAACAAGTGCCTTACTACTATGAACAAGAAGGCTACTAGGGGCAACAAAGCAAAAACTGCAGACCTGGAGGTGCTCCACCAGGCCAGCACGATGCTGTTGCAAATCTCAGCCCCAGAGACCTGCGACGTCACAATGGAGAGAAACGATTGTGTTTTTGCCTGTTTCTTTCTCACGCCTTTAGTAACAAGGACGCTACTAGGGGCTCCTAACCTCGCTACTAGGAGCAAGGACGCTACTAGGGATACATAATTTGTCAAAACACCGCAAATCTTTTGCACTTCGCTCTGAGAACATGCTTGCTGAACATAGCGTTGCTTCAACATGTTCAGGCACTTTTCTTGGGCACCCATACTGACACGGCGGGCGTCCAGCGCATGAGCGGCCAAACAAACCTGTAGAGGAAAAATCTGTTTGCAGTGGTTGCAGATACGCAGCAAAGCGCCTGTAGAGTCTTGTGCCACTTCAATTCCAAGCATCACAAAGGTCAGCAGTCTCTTCAATTGGTGAAACTGAGTTGAGGTGGAGGCCATCGCTATTAGACTTTCCTTCCTTCCTTCCTTTCTGTCTTTCTTTCTTTGTTTCTTTCTTTATGTCGTTCTTTCTTTGCACCAAGTTGAGGCACATTCTGGCTTCCCCCTGCCAGCCTGTGTCCCGCTCCAATGAGTTCGGAAGTAAAGAAGGCACTCGCCTGAAAGCAGAAAGGGGCGGCTGCGGTGCCTTCCTTTCTTCAACACTCCGGCCACCGTGACCACTCCCGATCTTCACAAGGCTCCCACTCAAAGCTCCACTTCCGAACCTTAAAACGTTCCAGCTCTGAGCTGGGAAAGGAACCTAATACTATTAGCAATGGCCTCCATCCTAGTAGCAATGGCCTCCAACCTAATGAGCTAACATTTGATGAAATTGGTGTCCTCGGGTCGTTGCGGGGGAGGATGTCAAGCGGTGGCTTGTGCCACTTGGGCCTTGGTTCCACTGGTTTTGGTGAGCGCCGTGGTCGGCGAGAAGCAAGTTCAGACATCTTAGCCATGCACAAGACTCGGGCCACGAGCGCTCCTCCAAAAAGTAGATCACATTACGAAAAGAATGAAGAATGCAAAAATACTGCAAAATGTAAAAGTATGAACAGGGCTCTGTAGCAAAGTTGTCTCTTTCTTCGTCTTGTTTTTGGTCCAAATCTCGTAAAGTTTATGTCCTGCCAAGTCTGGTTGAAAGGACCTGCAAGGGAGAGGGAGAGCGGAGCTCCCAGTACAAAGAACACAAAAAGAAAGACATAGTAGCTTCTTGCTCCTACTAGTAGCGATGCCCTTTGCTCCTAGTAGCTTCTTGCTCCTAGTAAGGCCAGGAGCCCCTAGTAGCGTCCTTGCTCCTAAAAGCGAAGAATGAAAAGATTTCCGAAAGATATGGCGCTCTTGGGTTGGAGGCCGTCGCTTCTAGGGTATAGGCTATGGCAAAGTAAGGGCGCTTCAAAACGTTTGGGGCGGTCTGGGGTCCCCACTCGGGTCTCGCACTCGGTCTCCAGGTACTTTCCCCTGTAGGAAATGTGGGGTGCCAAGAGAAATTAAGCAATTACATGCTAAAAGCACTTGGGAAATGAACGTTTGATCGAAAAGTTATTTCAATTGCTTTGGAATTCTGCCTTGATCAAAAGCAGTGCACGGTTCAGGTCCGCCCGATGCTCACTTGACCTGTGGGAATCAGCCCTGTGGATGGCAAGAAACAAGAATAAAGAAACAAGAGTAACCAGAGTGCATCCCTTGTAGCTTCCTTTGTTCCTAGTCGTGAGGCCAGGAGCCCCTAGTAGCGTCCTTGCTCCGTTCGTAGCGATGCCCTTTGCTCCTAGTAGCGTCCTTGTTACTACTAGTAAGGCACTTGTTCCTAGTAGCGTGGCACTTGTTACTAGTAGCGTGGCACTTGTTTCTACTAGCTTCTTTCTAGTAGCTATTTGCATCCCAAGTGTGTTCCCCCTTGAAAGACCTTCCCACAGGGATCCACACGTAACAGATTCAGTCTTTGGCAGATCGCACCAAGAGCCACGAGACAAATGCAAAGGGCTCCTGCAATTTGTAACTTCAATCTAGTCCGATGCACGTGTTACTAGTAGCAGCTACTAATGGCGATGTACTTGTTACTGGTAGCGATGCACTTAGCTACTGGTAGCTTGTTAAGCACGTAGCTACTAGTAGCTTCTTGCTACTAGTAGCGATGCACCTTGCTACTACAAGTGTTCAAATGTTTCTGCATTTAGTCAACAAGTTTTACTTTAGACTTGGTGAAATGTCACGCTCTAAAGACTGCCTTCGGTAGATTGCCCTCGTGGTGTCTGACATGCCATCGCTTACTGGAATCATTGTGTGTGTGCCTGTCGGTTATAAACTCGGTTTACCAAGCTCTGAAAACTATTGCATTTATGGAGGCCATCGCCATTGGGGTTTGTTCTTTGTCTTTTTTCGTTTCCCTGTTTGATTACGGAACTTCCATCGAGACTTGAACGCAAACATGTTGGATAAGCTGATTTGTCGACAACAAAAAACTGGCTGCCGCTGTCCAAACTTGTCACACAAAAAGAATTTCTTGCCAACCCGATTACAAGCACTTGAGACTGTGCGCTCTCACTCACTTTTTTCCACTGTTTGCATCAATCACTGTGGAATCTCAACCTGACAGAAGGGAATGCGGCATCCAAAAAAAGGCACATGAATGCAACTCAGGCTGGCACCTGCTCCAGAATTGGGAGAATCCTAAGAACATCAAACGCAAAAACGGAAAATGTTTTGGGCATCAATCAATGCTGTGGCAGCTGTTTTGCACCAGAAAGCTATGAGGCGCAAAAGCTGTTCAAACATAAACGTTTTTCGAACATGAGACATGCTGGAGTCTGGAGGGTGTCAATACAAAGAAATTCCTGCAGTGATAGAAACTGGGTGTCATTTCGACAAGGTCAGAAAAATGCCAAGTTGCCAAGTTGCAAATTCACTTGGCTGAGGAAGAATCAAAATGGCACATGAGACGCTACCAGGGTGGAGGGCATTGTTATTAGTAGCGATGGCCTCCAACCTAATAGCAATGGCCTCAACCCTAGTAAAGATGGCCTCCAACCTAGGGTGGAGGCAATCACTTCTAGGGTGGAGGCCATCGCTAATAGAAACAAACACAAAAGAAAAGGAAGAAGGTTCGTTTTGCTCACGAGTTACGCTAACAGCACTGAGCTCATTAAGCTCCAAGCTCAGAAAAAGGTGGTCTCTTGGCAGGTGTGCCAGCCTCAAATGAAGAGCAACTGTACTCGCTCACGCTCTTTTTCCACTTGAGCCAATGCAACGAAGTGCATACCCGATTGACCTCTGGTTTCTGGTGTCCGGTGACTTTCAGTAAATGGATCTGTGGATCTTGTGATATACAGGATGATCCGTCCATTACCTGTCCAAAAGCTCTGCCACAATATGCTCCAGATGCTACAGCTTGGCCTTTGGTTCAATATTCTTGACATATGGAGAACTGTCGAGCTCAGCTCTGATAGAGTACTTATGGTGTACTGATTCCATGCAACAAGTCTTCAGCATACGCTAGAAGCGTACACTGCAAGATGTCATATAGCACGGAAGGAGCTTCACACCCCCCCATGCTGAACGGCTGTTGCATTGAAAAATCTCTCTTCCACAGCTCATCGGAACATCTAAATCAGCATTCCAGTGATCGAAATCAATCAAGGAACTAGGACCGGAATTCTGTGGATCTCAGCAGGTTTGAATTCTAACCACGAGGCTTTGAACCATAGCAATTCGAAAACACCCGATATTTCACCAAGGTGTCCGATTGGCGAAAAGCGCAGTATGAACCAATGTGCAGAAATCGTTCTTGCGAACATTCTCTTGGAAAATCGCCGTATAGCTGGCATCCAGGTTCCACAATATCAAAATTGATACACTCGCAAGTCTTGTACTCAAGAAATCATCGGCTCGTGCCAAATGATGGCACGTGGAAAAGTGCACAACCTCTCTTCGGCTAAAGGTGGTCATCACAATTCCTGCTGAACTTCGACGCGGCGCAACAATCCCTTGAGCATCAACATTGGATCCGGTATCATTCTGTGAACCTCTAGGTGGATCACTTGAACTCACTCCCGCAACATTGTCCAACCTTCCTGTATGGTCTGGAGACTGATCTGCTGTACGTACATCATCTGCTAAGAGATGAAAGAAATCATCTTCTGCAACATACGGTTCACCCAAGTTCCGAGCTTCTCTCGCAGAGGTACCCGAATCTGGAGTGTCGGACATGGCTAAGCAAAAGATGAAGATTGGCTCAACTTAGTCGAATCAAGAAAAGTCTGCGCCTGCAAGCTCGAAGTGATACGTTTCGGATATCCATCTTTAAACACGTGAGATCTCATTTAAATCTTCATGAAGTTCCTGGCAAACCTTAGTGCGAAACGATAAGGATATAAACCAAGACTCTTCGGATCCTGATGATTCAGGGGCGCATGCTTGAAACATTCACACACCGGCATCTTCTTGGCCAACTCATCATGACTGCTCATGATCCTGAACCCGTGCTTCGCTCGAACCTCTTCTGTCGAGAACGCACATCTCGCTACCACGATCTCACGCTTCAGACCCTGACGCTCCACAAACAACTCAATCTCTTGCTCTTTCCAGTATCTACAACTATTCGAAAGCTCCAACGCCTTGACATGTCCCTCTTGGAAAATTGACTCAACATCATGGAGAATTGGGACAAACTCGGACCAATGGCGTTCATAGAGACTCTTCCCATTCGAACAGAGCTGCAACATAAGACTCCCACCAGTACAAGGCGGTGATCCTCAAGCAAGGATGGTCACTAAATTCCCGATCTGCTGCATCCAATCGCAAGTCATCTTACACACATGTGATACAGGGGTATCCATGGTGATTGAAACAACTCTCAACTTAGGAAATGAAACTTGTTTTCAGTCTGGGTAAAACGGGCTCTGCCACTAGTACAAACATCAACTATCACGTGTGTGCACTGACCCATATGGATGCTGATGCAATCTGTATCAACCTTTTCCGGAACGACTGAAGACATCGCGTAGCCGCCTCTACGGGCAACGCCTCCATGGGCAACACCTCTACGGGCAACACCTCTAAGGGCAACACCTCTACTGGCAACAACTTCTTCGCGAAGTCCAGCTCTAGCTTGCTAGCCAGCTCAGAGCCCACCTGATCATCATCAGGCTCGTACGCTTCCGAATCGAACACAACCGTCCTCCCGGACGCATACGCCTGAACCTCATGTTCGGCCGCCTGAACCTTATGTTCGGCACGTTCACCTCGTGAACCACTCGATCCCTCTGGGTCCGAAACCCTAGGTTTCCGTTTCGAAGCTTGCTTCGAACACTCCAACTTCACCAGAAAAATTCAATCACCTAGATCAGAGAAGGATTAGATCAGAGCAGGGTCGCATGAAATTTTATGTTTCTTTACTTTTTTTGCATTTTTCACATGTTTTTATCAATTTTCCACATATTTGATCATATTTTCATATTTTAAAAACATTTTTCCACATTTTTCACATGTCTTTTTTATTTTATTTTTTTGTTTTAAAAAAAGGTACTATTTTGGGGGAAAACACCTCAAACACAACATGGTTAATCAAATTGTGTTTCTTGGGGAGAAGTTATCCTAACAGCTGAACACAACTGACTGCAGCAGTCATATCACGCTCCAGTTTGCATGTGAAATTATGTTTTTGCATATTTTTGCATATTTTCTCATGTTTCGAGATTTTTCGAGATATTTCGAGATTTTTTGAGATTTTTTGATTTGTTAAAATGATTTTTCCTTTTATCCCCTCGAGATTTTTTGAGATGTTTCGAGATTTTTTGAGATTTTTCGAGATTTTTTGAGATTTTTTGAGTTGATTGTTGCTAAGATTTTCATTTAAAACATTTTTTTTGCATTTTAAATCTCTTATCGAGATTTTAAATCTCTTTGGAAAGTCTTCCATTCCAAAACCTCTCCGGTGCAGGGTATTGAATTTTTTTGGTGACAACTGCCAGCTCTCTGGCGGGTCGACGTCTACAGCCCCTAAATTCTCTGCACGCCGAAAAATGCTCTTCCTTCGAAGGATCTTGGCGGAAAGATCTGCAACACAATCTGCTGTACCTACCCAGTTCAGGATAACAACACCATTGTTGACCAACTCCTGTACATAGCAAACAGACAACGACAAATGACAAACCCTTCTGCTCAGTCCATCATTCTTCATGACTGCTAAACACGATTCCAAACCGCTCAACAATTGAATTGACTGGTAATCTAAGCTGCTTCTCCCAACCACGTCGAACTCACAATTTGCTTTGGTGTTCACCATTTCTTCCAAGTCATGAACACTATCAAAATCGGCTGACAAACTCAACAAGGTGTCGAATCCCTATGGCTTCCTTTACCATAGTACACAAGGAGATGGCTTCTGCTTCACATGATGACAAAGTCACACATCCCTGAACTCGTGAAACTGCTTTGATAAGGCATCCATGCCAATAGATCGCACCCCCAGTGGTGGATTTCCGCTTTTCCATATCGTCCCACCCAGTATCCTTCGGTAGCGTTGCGCTCTGATCTTGCCTAAGTCGGTCAGGACATCTGGCGGAATGGTGGTTGGCTTCACATCAAACTCTTGGAACACCGGTTCAAGATACGATGGATGAACTCTCACTTGGACATTGGACGAAATGGCAATCTACAAACAACCCTTCCAAGAAATGTAATCGAACCTCACTCCAGTGGATTTCACTTTCAACCTGGAACCCAATGTGTCTTTGATTTCTTGGATCCCTTCTCTGCTGGAAGATCCAATCAGCTAATCATCCACATAAATCACAATGACTCCAAAAGCTTTACTCTCTTTCAATTGACCGCACAGGATTGTGGGCTCAGATGGCGAACTGATCAAACCAATCTCTTTCAACTCAATGGAACAAGTCAACAACCAAACCTTTGCCGCTGATTGAAGGCCGTTCATCGCCTTACGCAAATCTAGGTATGCAGGCTTATACATCGTTTCACTCATGGAAAGGCCTGTTGGCAACCTCACCACTGCGGCGACGCCTGGAGGTAAATCCGAGTGCAAAAAGGCTATACTGATGTCCAACGACTCGCACACCAAATCCCAAACAGAGATCAAGGTCAACGCGATCCTGAAACTCTCTAGAGAAGGTGTACTAGACGAAATGCCTAGCCTCATTGCCTAGCAATCTGCTGAGCAATTCCCCTTTGGATTCCTTCTCGGTCAGAACCCATCTGCAAGGACTGGCCTGAGTGCCTCAAGACGCGCACAGTGCAAGGGCCTCATCCTCTCCCAAAACATCTCCCGCATCTAGATCGTTCATGGCTGTCAACTCTGTCTCACGACCTTTGATGGCCTGTTCAACAGTGAAAGTGGTCATACCATCTTCTGACACTGCCTGCGACGGTTCGGTCAACAAGATGTCTGTCCCACACAATGAGAACGTCGACGAACGAACTCCATCAAAGTCCTTTCCCTTTGGCACAAAGATAGGAAACAAAATGCCATGACTTGCACCTGAATGCTCTGGCGGTGAACAAAGAAACATCCCAATGTCCATGTCATCTGGCTCTGGTTCAACTGCCATATCCTCTGGAGGCTCAGTTCGCGCATACTCTGAGTCAGCTCGGAGCGATCGATCACGCGGTTGGGCTCACATCGTCTTCCCCGCCCCGATCCATCCGAACATCTTCTTCTGGCAAAATCACTGGAGGTGGTACATTAGGTATAAAGAAGGCATCTCAGATGGCAGTCCAACCACTGCTGGAGGCTGAAGAGAACCAGGAGGACGCTTACTCTCATCCTAAGACCTTTGGTTGGATGACCTGGGGAGGAAACAGGAATTGATGGTCGAAATGGCTTTGCATCTGGTGGAACTACCATCTTCGGAACTGAACTATCCTTTGGTTTGGCTTCCAACTCAGCTCGACTGGATTTGTTTGCCGTCTCAAACTTCTCTTGTTGCGCTTTGACCCAGTCGGTGTATCGACGAAAGCATCCTCTGCTACGGGTATGTCCTTTCCTAGTACCCTTGGTTCGAATAGCATCGCACGCTTTGCAATCCTTAGTCAAACCTTCTGACCTTAACCAAGCGATCGGAGGTAGCAATATAACTTTGTTCGATCATACACAGGCACGCGCGGATGAACAAGATCTTGCAAATCCTTGATGTCCAGCTCTCCGGCAGGTGCATCATCATCTGCCGCCTTTGCGAGAATGTCAGGACAAAATGAACACTCCCAACAAATCTTGTTCGAAGGACGAACTTCTGTCTTGAACTGCTTGATTGTCCCATCTTTGCATTTCACTGCACTTCATGTGCAAAGCTACCGAATGTATGCACCCAAAACAAATCTGGAACCTTCTAACACAATTGCTCCAAACATGGTGGATGTGGGCAATGTGTAATCCCTTTGAGTGACCAACTGGATCGGCGAACGACGATTTCCGAAATCACTGCTGATTCCAAAGTGGTTATGCGTTTGGGCTACATAACACATCACTGCTCGGTAGGCTTCCTTAGTTTCTTTCAAGGCAAACCCCTGACTCCGTAAGTCTGCTTGGATACATCCAATCATCTCTTTGAAGCGACGAACGGTGCGTTCGCAGTGTCCTACGGTTTGGTGGCTTTGCGGCGCCGCCTCATTTGTGTGAAGTGGAACGGGAAGGTTGGCTCTTTTGAAAATCGAAGCAACTGCTTTCTCTGCGTCTGTTCTCACCTCTACTGCTAGATGTGCTTCCGACGGCGACATGACCAACAATCCCAACTGATTGAAAAACGCACGAATGTCCGTGTTTGTCTCACCGGCACATAAGGCACAACCAATCAATCCAGTCATCACTTCTGACAGAGCTAGGAATTTGTAATCCCCAATGAAAAAGAAATCAGCTTGAATGGAATGGTGTGTGTCCTCGCAGTCGATGGAATACAAGCTCTTCTTCCTCGCGTTTCTTCAACAGCTTCAAATCGGATGGGAACTCTGGGCTTTCTCAACTTTGGACAATTCCTCATCTTCGAAATCTGCTGGAATGGGGTGGTCTTCCATGTCTTCCTCATGGGGAGGGTACTCTTCTTCCAAAGCGTAAAAAAATTCTCTTCACCTAACAAAACACTTGCATGCAATTTTGGTTTCCGCTTCAATGCACTAGTCAAATGATTGATTGCGATCGACTCGGTCGGCGATGTCAGGCTGCTAGACAGTTTGTCAACATGCATGGTATCTTGCGAGCCTTCTGAATCTACTTCCATGTCCGCAGGCATGCCAAATGCTTTGCTTTCGAGACTGACTAGCATGAAGCCATGGTACACCGGACCAAACATCACACATCAATTGTCTTCGGTCATCTAGGATGATAAATGTTCCGTCTCCACTCATCTCGAACTTAGCTCCCTTTCCCACAAGTTGCGTCACAGAAAGGAGATTATGCTGCACTGGTGCCACGACACATCGAAGCTCATAGCGCAATGTCTTGCACTTCTCATACTCCATCTGGAAACCAACCTGAGTTCGGAAGTAAACTTCGATGAACACATCTCTCGAAACATGGATGGCGTCACCACTTGCTGTCTGGAACGAAAGTGGGTTGTCAAGACATCGTTCACGAATGACGCGATATGCACTCAAAGCGTCTGAACTCACAACAGTTCGCGAAGCTCCCGAATCGACAAGCCAATACCCTGCTTCGATCGGAGTTTCCGTGGCCGACGAAAAGAATGGATGGAAACACTCTTGTCCCAAAGACCGATACCTATGACAGAAATGCATCGTGAGACATGTCAAAACAATGACAGGATGGCGAACATGCAACAAAACCAACGTCCAAACAATGCGCTCAACTTCTTCTCTTTTGGCGGTTCAACCCTGGCACATGTCTGAGTTCAACAACGCTGCAAGACGACCTCCTTCATCTGCTTCTGACCATGCATCATCGGCATCTGAGGATTCCGAAAACTCTGCTGCTTACCCTTCTTACTTTTGGATTTGCCCTTTCCTGTATCTTGGCTTTTTCCTTTGAATTTGCTCTTGCCATCACTCGATTTGTGCGATATAAGGGGGCAATCTCTGGAAATGTAGCCTGCTTTGTCACACTCAAAGCACGAACAGGTCTCAGTCTTCTCGGTCTGGCGCTCATCATTCTTGCTCTTACCTTTACCTTTGCTCTTGCCTTTGTCAGTTTTGCCTTTACCTTTCTCCTTAAACGGCGCAATGGGCTTGTGGTTCAGCTCAGACCACGCTCGTTGTTGTGCTTCATACCTCAGGGCAGCATCTGAGTACGCCTGAAAGCTTTCCTGCACAACATTGAGAACGAGCCGCTGGCGACAAGCATCGAAGAAGAATCAAAATCTGGTCAGCTTCCATGATTTCCAGCTGTTGACTGTTCACACTTGGATCAATCAGTTGCTGAATGCGTGCAAACTTATGAACAACTCACGCTGGATCTGGGGATGGTGGCACACTTGAAAGTTCCACTGGTGATTCGGTTGCGAAAGAACAACAACTCTGTTCTGGTCTTGATTCCAAACTCTCGTGCCGACCTCCCTCCCTCCCTCCCTCCCTCATAGCCACAACAGTTCATACGGTTTTGCGACGATTCGTAGTTTCTCAAAATCAAGCTCACTCTAGCACGACCGGCAAACACTTGTTTCAAAATCGAAAGCCACCGAGTGGACCTGGTGATCTGCGCTGCATTCATCTGATTCCAGGTGATCGCGGTCAGACTTCGAAGGGACCAAAGGATCTCTCGTGGCCATTCATTGTCTCCTAATCCAGCCCATGAAGCTAACTCTTGGATGTAGCTCATGAACCCCTCTACTTCTTCTGGTCTTGTGGTCCATTTTGGGGAACTGGATAAGCTGGCATCCGTCTCTCACTTCGCCTGAAAGGACTCAGATCTCCCTTTCCTTTGTACACTTCAACAGCATCTCGAAGTGCAGTTGGTGACTGCTGCATCCCTGGTGGAAGAAGATTGACATTTGCTGGGTCAGGATTATTGAAAGGCGTGTCTTGAACATTGCGACGGAAATTCTGCCATGGATCCTGAATTTGCAACAAATCAACATTCCTATCTCTTGGACTTCCGGAAGGTGGGACCGGCAATTGGAAACCATCTGGTGAGGGGCATCAGTTAGCACTGAGCGTTTCCAAGGTTTGGAACAGCAAGTGTCCAGTTTAGCTACCGTGGCTAGATCCTTGCAAGATGCTATTGGTTCATTGGTACCTGCAGTAGAAGCATTGACCACACGTGTGAATACGCCACCGCGTATGATGCATATGAGTCAGGACCACCAGCGCCAGTGGTTCCCAGTTTCAACTGCAGGAGATCCTGGATCTGGTAAAGATGCCATGGCTCCGCTACCATGAAGAGCAACTAGCTGTACTCGCTCACGCTCTTTTTCCACTTGAGCCAATGCAACGAAGTGCATACCCTCTGGTTTCTGGTGTCGGGTGACTTTCAGTAAATGGATCTGTGGGTCTTGTGATATACAGGATGACCCGTCCATTCCCCGTCCAAAAGCTCTGCCAAAAAAAACTTCAAATGCTACAGCTTAAGGCCTTTGGTTCAATATTCTTTACATATGGAGAACTGTCAAGCTCAGCTCTGACAGAATACTTATGGTCCTTACGGTGTACTGATTCCAAGCAACAAGTCGTCAGCATACACTAGAAGCGTGCACTGCAAGATGTCATATAGCACGGATGGAGCTTCACATCAAAGGTTTCGACCCAAAACCAATGACATCTTTTTAGAAAACTCGTTGATTCTGAGATACGAAAAGGAGAAAAGTCACTGGAAACCGGTCATGGGAAAAGAATTTTCCTTTGAAGAGTGACTTGACAGCCTTCCACAATTGAGGCGTTTGCCCAGCAAGTTTGCATTAGTTGCACCAAGACTTCAGGACATTCGTCAGGCACCTGGGGCATACAACACATGACTCACACAACCCGGTGAAATGATAAAATAAACCAAATACTCATATCTGATTTGAGTGAGCTGCAGATGCCAAGTCAGGACCTTCAGCAAAAGGCCAAAGCTATCCTGTGCTTAAATGCTTTCACACACCAATCTGTTCCGGAGAACTAAACCCCAGATCAAAATTAGGGCCCCCAGCGACAGCCTTTCACACAGAGGTGCCCTATGTCTGCAGGGTTTTGATCCTGAGTAGCACTGCAATCACTTTGTCAAAGCCAAAGCATGTCACGGCGTGTCACTGGATGGCCTCAAAGGGAATCTCTTGGCAAAGTACCCTGGCACGGCAATGAAATCCATTGAAGCAGGTTGGAGGCCATCGCTCTTTTGTTGGATGCCATCGCTATTGGATGTATTTATTTTCTCTATGTTGAGGCTATTAGGCCGGAGGCCATCGCTAGTAACAAGGGTAACAAGGGATGACGTTTCTTGATGAAATGGACAAGGGTTCGGGTATATCAAAGAAAAACCACCACAATCTACGAAGTGGGAGGTTTACAGCAAGGTACCCAATGGTACAGCTGACCCGCAGCCGGGTCGGCACACGGCGAGGGGTATCAGAACACTTAGTCCCCGTAGTGTGGTTGGTGGGGTGCGACCGGTAGGGAGCTCTTTACGGCAACCTGGCGGCGGCGCGGCACGAAAGCAAGTGTGGGCGCGCACAGACGGCGTGCGAACGAAGTGCACCCTGAAGCAGGCACGGGCGCGCCTGTTTCTTGAGCCATGACGGGCGTCGGAGTGAAACAAAGTTCAGCGACCGACGACCTAACCTGTACATGAACACTTCATGACATGGCAAGTTAGGGGTTACCACTGTATGTGATTTCTTGACTTTCTTGTGCCCCACACAGGTCTTCACGTGCCAACTACTAAACGAGGCATAAACAGCATTTGCACAAATGTGCACCATACAGCAGCAGCTAGCGGTAAACCACTGGCAAGATTTAGGTAAACACTACACCGTGCACCACAAAGTGTTGTGTGGCTCGGAAGAATGCTTTTCATCGTTGCACTGTGGACATGTTGGCCCCAGATTCATCAAGCAATGTAAGTGAATATCTGATGTTCCAATCTCTCCTCTTTTCGAAGTGGTTTGGGATTGAGTCTGACACAGCCAAACAAGATATCCACAAAGGACCCGAACAGGAACAAAACACAACACGACTAACAAGTGTGAAGCATCTCAGTGACAAGAAACACAGAAGTGTCCTAAGCAGGTTTGTTGTTGTGGGGTTTGTCTTCTTTGGGCCATGAATGAAGGGAGGAAGGCCAGATGAGATGACAGGAGTTGGGTTTGCCAAAATACTGACCACTAAACAAAATAGAAAATAAATATGCCAAAAAACAAAGATCCATAGATAAAATCCTCCCAAATGTTTTGCTTGAATAACTGCATTTTCTCATTGCATTGGTTTCGTCCTCTTTTAGTCTCTTTGTCATCCTGTTATTCATTTGTCTTCTCCTTTCTGAACTTTCTCATTTCTCCTCCAATGGCCTTCAACCTTTTAATAGCGATGGCCTCCAACCTAGAATACTTCATTCAAGCACTCAAAAGCCCTTCATGTCCTCGCGCTATCCTTTCAAGTCGACCAAAATCCCTTGGCACCCTCATTAACTTATGGGGCCTTTGCAGAAACACTAGGAGCGAATCCTGCAGAGGATGACAACCTCAAATGGACCACACGTTCACAAATCATCGTACATACTAAACGTAGGTCTTAAGCTGAGCTTAAGGGAATGCTCAAACAAACGAAGACAAATTCCTAAAAACGTGCAAAAAAAAGGTGACAGAGGTGACAGTAGCACTGAAAATGTACCAATGTGCCCTGCCCTCTTCCATACCCGTCAAGCTCGAAAGAGCCACTCGAAAAGGATCATGGCATAAGAGTACAAGTCCACCTCAACAAGCTGGTGCCAATCGGGTGCAAAAGTGGATTGCACAGTTGCAATGGAAGATTGCTCAGCAAGAAACAAGAAATACCGTCTCTTGTTTTTACTCTTGTTGTTTCTTCTACCACCTGCAAGGAAGATACTAGGAACTGGACGCAGCATAGCTCACGCTTCGTCAAGGAAGCTCCCCCCGCCGCCCTAAAGACGGCGGGGGAAGCTTCCTTGAAGAAGCGCTCGCACTAATGATTCGGCTTCTAGATTTTTAGGATACTGACCTATAAAGGCTCTTCTTGTGCCTTCTCATCATAGGTGTCGCTTACAAAGACTTCTGGAGCCATCCAATGGCATGTTCCTTGCGCTGATTGAAGAGGCGCAGTGAAGAAGAAGCTCGCAAAATGCAGAAGCAATTCCCAAAGAAACATACTCTCCTTATCCATTCGAAATTATCCCCTCGTGTCTTGCTGGTTCGGTGGTTCTTTTGGTCATTTCATCACAGTGAGTTTATCGACTTTAGTGGCAAGGACGCTACTATTGGCTCCTAGCCTTACTACTAGTAGCAAGGA